AAAATTCATTATTGTCATTTTCAATATGGACATCTATATTTCGTGAATTATTAAATTGAACACACTTCATGAATATTGATTATCGAAGGAGCTCATTGACAAGTGACCATACTTTGACACTCGACGACGAGTAGGTTCAGTCTGATAAATGACTACACTGCTGCTCAAGTTTGCATATTTATGTGTTTGTTTTTGTTTTTGTTTTTTCTTTTGTATTTGTTTTTTGTTTTATATTTGATTAAACTTTTGATTTATTTTCGGAATGTTGTGTTTGGGAATATCATAAGTGGTGTCATTTAAATATGCAATAAGGTATCAGCGCTAGCGTTTCCATTTTCATCTTTGGGCAAATTGGGGTTAAAAAAAACGACATTCTCGTACAAAAACTGGTTCAGAGAACTCTGCTTACTTTTTTGTAGTAGCCACATCTTCTTTGGGAATGTGATTGGTGACGCCCTCTAGATGTGCAATAAGGTTTAGGAATTGTCATTTTTATCCTGGGCGCAAGTTGGGATCGAAAATGACATTTTTCTGAAACCTTTTTGACATTTTTCACAAACCTGGATCTCAGAACTTCGTTTACGTTTTACGCGGTATCAATATTTTCTTGTGGAATATGGGTGGTAGTGTCTTTTTGATAAGCAACAAGGCTTAGGAAAAATTTTGTCCCAAGAACTCTTTTCACGATTTATGCAGTCAAATCACTTTTTGAAATATACTCGTTGGTGTCCTGTAGATGCACAATAACGAGTAGGAATTCTTATTTTCATTCGGAGGCCAGTTGGGGTCAAACTATTTTTATCTAGAAAAATCTTATTCCTAGAACTCTTTTCACATTTTTGACAGTAGCTTTATCATAATTTGGTTTATGATTGGTGGTGTTATGTAGTTTTCAAACAAAAAAGAAGCTTTTGCGATGCAGGATTAACGGTTGAAAAAAATTCTGCAATAGTTGCAAACATCAATCCTTACGTTAACAAAGAGAGAATGCATTTTATTGTTTAATTAAATCATTCAATTTCAGATCGGTTATGAATATGCTATATGAAATACTAATATATGAGGCTCTTGGGCCACATGCTCACCAGCACATTTTATATTCAATTTCGTACATGTTTCTTATATTCATGTAAGTTATAGAATAACTGCTGATGGTTCTTCAAGTGCGAAGGAGAATACACTTAAAGGCAAAAAATTATTTGTAGGTTTTACTGTCTTATGACAACATCTAGTTTTGTTTTCCTTATTTTTTCATAAAAGAATTTCAGAGTTATCAGAAACCTCATAATTTTGATTAAGAAGTAAATATTACCTATGATTGCGCTTAAATTTGAATACGTTAATTTATGTACACATACAGTATACACAAAGATAAGTTTTATTTTAGTCAAACGATATAATTATATAGACTAAACTGATAGGAATAAATTGTTCTTATATTTGGTTAAAAAGTTAATTTGATTCCGCATATACAATAGTTCTGTGATTGTTTGTTTTTATGCTCCCGTAATCGAAGATTCGGGGCATATAGTTTTTGGCCTGTCCGTCAGTCTATATTCTGTTTGTCTGCAAAAACTTTAACATTGCCCATAACTTTTGATTGGTTGGAGCTATGGCTTTCATATTTCACTTGTGTATTCCTTGTGACAAGACCTTTCTTACTACTACTATCATGTTTGACCTTTTGACATTGACCTTGGAGTTTGACCCATTTTTTCAAAATTTTACCCAACATTAACGTTGACTATAACTTTTGAACAGTTAGTGCTAGGGCTTTCATACTTCACATGAGTAATCCTTGTGACAAGACTTTCCTTTGGATACCAACAACTTTGACCTTTTGACCTTGACCTAAGAGTTTGACTTACTTTTGAAAAACTTTAACCTTGGCCATAACTTTTGAACGGTTGGTGCTAGGGCTTTCATACTTTACAAATGTAATTCTTATGACAAGTCCTTCCTTTGGATACCAGCAACTTTAACTCTTTAACATAGACCTTGGAGTTTGACCTACTTTTGGAAAACTTTAACCTTGGGCATAACTTTTGAACAGTTGGTGCTAGGGCTTTCATATTTCACACGTGTGTTTCTTGTGAGAAGGCCTTTCCTTGGGCACCATTAATTTGGACCATTTGACCTTGACCTTGACGTTTGACTTACTTTTTAAAAACTTTAACCTTTTCCATATCTACTCAATGGTTGCTGCTAGGGCTTTCATATTTCACAAGTATATTCCTCGAGATATTACCTTTCTCTGCATTTGAGGAAGTTTAATCTTCGCTATAAGTTGCCATACGGGGGCATCAGTGTTTCACAAACACATCTTGTTGTTTGTTTTTTTTTTTTTTGTTTTGGTAATGTAATAACCTTTTGGTAATTTGACTAATATTGGTAAAGTTTGGCTAAGACATATCACGTTGTTCTTAGACAAAATAGGTTTTCTACCATCAGTGAAAAGTCATTTTACATTCAGAGCAAATGACACGATTTGGTGATTCTCTTTGTGTGATTGTATCTAAAATAGTGCTGGTGTATTGTTGTCCCCGGTCAGTCCGTCTCTCACACTATCTTATTTATCAAACTCCATACATTTTTATCCATTTCATCTTTTTGGAATACATGTATGTGGTGTATGTAGATGTGCAACAAGATTTTGGAGTTTTTGTTTGAGCCCGATGGGCAATTTAGGGTTGAAAACGACGTTTTCCCACAAAATGTCTGGTTCGAAGAACTTTCTTTACATTCTTATATTTTAAACTGCAGCCAAATCATCTTTTGGAATATAATTGGTATTTCCTGTAGATGTCCAAGTTGGGGTCGAAAAACGATGTCTTTCTGCAAAAACAAGGTTTGAAGAATTTATATGCTTTACGCAGTAGCCAAATCATCATTTGGAATATGAGTGGTTGTGTCCTGAAAATGTGTAATAAGGCAGTAGCCAAATCACCATTTGGAATATAAGTGGTTGTGTCCTGAAAATGTTCCAATAAGGTTCTAAATTTTCATTTACATCCAGATGGCCAGGTGGAGGTCGACAAACTATACTGGTTCCAAAAATTCCTCTTACGCATTACGCATTTATTTCTTTAATTTCAGGATTAATAAGTTTTATACATGAAATACTAGCATAAAGAGGCCCATCTACACATGGTCACCTGAGCAGTTTATGTTTAATCGGAAGTCCTTGCCAGATGCAGGATTTCGTTGAACATATGTCGTAGTAAACATAAACAACTTCAAATTCACGATCTGTGTTTTTAAAATAATCAAATGGAAGGTCGGGTGCAGGTGGATTGAACTTTTGGGGATTTCTAGAATGTTGGATTTTAGCAAATCAGAGACGTAGGAATCATTTAATCGTGTAAATAAGTGTATTTATTGCCTTCTTTCAAACTTAATTAATAATAACCCTGCACTAGCACTTATAGATAGAAATAAAACGTATAAAATTTTTCTTATACTAGAGTAGTTCTTTACCAGTTTATCTCCAAATGTTTTGTCAATGAATATATGGTTTTGGCGTTGCAAAGACCAATTGAAACAATAGATATACTGTTGATGTTGATATACACATAATTATGTGAGTGCTGTACCGAAACCTACTTATCTCACACCAATTGAAATGACCGTACAAGTTCATTCCGCCACCTTTCAATTTTTTGACCAAAATATTCAGGTTCTTATGTAACAGCTTCATCTTTTTTTCATGGACAACGCACAAAAAAGTAGCAAGATCCATCAACCTTAAGGAATGATTCTTTCACTTAGTCTTGAAATAAAATTGAAATAAACATGCGTAATAAAATAGAACTTATTAAGAAGTCACACAGCAGAAATTCGTTATGTCAGTTCAATCCACTCAAACAAGGATGAACTCTCTTATCAGGAAACAACACAGACCAACATATTTGTAGAACTTCTGAAGTCAATCAATCCAGAGAGATACAGAAGGTTTCCTTACAGAAAAGCCAATGTTTACTTTGTCCTCTAAGTTTTCATTTAACAGCTATCACGATCATACGACGTCTAGAAAGTCTATTGTAGACTTAATTGGGAACAATAATATTAGCTTTGGACTTCTGTCTTGTGAAGATGGACCGGTGGGTATTAATGACCGCCCGGCCCTGACATTTCTACACCGATCAACGAGCAGCCCCGATGGCTGGAAAATGCTCCTTTTTATAAGCTGCTAAGTTCATATTTAGCATGCTTAGCTGACGATTAAACATTACATGCTTTGTCAGAAGTATTTGGTAGAAATCGATTCATACTAATCAAATCCTCTTGAAAAAGGAGTGAAGAACATGCAGATTTTACGGACAGTAAGCTTCAATATACCCCGGTAGAGGTTTCTTTGATAATTAATCAAGTATTCTGATATTGATTTTGGAGACGCATTAATCTGGAATACGAAACATTTATTCACAAAGGAAAGAGGTTTTGTTTCAATAGAATAACGATTAATGTGTGGATTGAAGCTTCTTTAATAAGTGTGTTATGTACATAAGCTCCTTCCGAACAAGATAGCTTCTGATTACTGAAAATTATTATACAGAATTATCCAATTCCCTGTTTCCCGTCGCTGAAACAGGGGAGGAATTTTATCCCCAATCGCTGGACTTATACCTCAGTCGAGTAAAATCCAAATGCTGATAGTATTAACTTATAATACCACCTGTCATTTACTTTTTTGTTTTACGGCGGAACCCAGTTAGTTTTTAGGTCGCAAAGCAATAGCAGGCTAAGGATAAGAATTAATGTAAAATGACCTGTCTGCACTTTGGTCCTACAAAGTATTAATGGATATTGTAAATCAACAAGGATTAACAGCCTTGTTGAAAACATAGCAGTGGGAGATACTGGAATATTAATTATTGTCACCCATCTTGTTCATAATTATAACCTATACTGTAATAAATGAACAAATCATTGCCACTGAATCATAACGCAATTATCAGGAACGGAATATCCTCAGAGAAAGTGTCAATGTTCTTAAGTTTGAGTTAACCGGAACTTAATAATTCCAGACGAAATGGTTATAGATGGGAATCTCAAAGTTAACGATATTACTGGACACAAGCACATTGTTTTTAAGAGAAGCATTGCAGCCGGTACTCACGAGGAAACGCAGTTCATTGATCTCGACTATTGGTAGTATGGGAATGTGGTTAGGCACTGATTGTTAGTTGTCGTTTGAAGGATTACCGGGTAGTACAAAAGGAGACACATTTATGAGATATGGAAACATATTGTTTTTACCATTGATGAGACTATGTGCGTCAAGCATTCAGTGATACACCAAAGAACTAATAGTGTATAAAGTGTTGTATAGCCTTGGATGCCAGTTCTAGTCATTCTTTTGTTGCCTTTGTTCGACAAAGATTTATTTTGGTTTTACTATGATGACTCTATGTAAGTCGCTGGAATCCCTGGCGTCATCTCGTCAAAGTCTCGCGACGTCCGTGGAGAACCAGGAATCTCCTTACCTTATTCGAAAAGTCAGGTAGGTGTGTTGGAAAATGTTACATTTTTTGGGCAAATTTATTACTTTTCAACTACTGACAGCAAAAAAAACCTTTTTAAAACATAATAGACTCACTTAAAACATTTTTACAATAAATCAAAGAGGACATTTCACTTTAATTAAGGGTGTATTTTGCTTATGATGCTGCGGTGTCAATTATTTTAACGGAACTCCTCTGATTTTAATAAAAATCATTTTATCCATCAAAATAATCATTATATTTTTCCCCATTAACCCTGTATTATTTATATACATTTTGATTTTTCATTGTCTTGAGAGTCTTCTAAAAATATAAACACAAAGTTTAATTCAAGAGAAAAAGTTTTCAGAGAAATTTTTTTCATTCATTGTCTATAAAAAATCCCGAGAAGGCTAGTTTCCTCGTCATATCTTTAATGCCTTGTATCTCAGAAACTCATATTTTTCTCTTTCTAATTTTGTTTCAGATAATGAACATCAAATTAAAATACCAAAATTGAAAGTTAGTGAATATTTATCTCAGCAGAATACATCTTAAAGTTGTATATTTATATTTGCAACGCATTTTTTAAAGGAATCACCAGAAGAGTTCATCATGGTATGACATTAGTAAATTAAACTGATGTCATTGATAACAGTGTTCTTCTGCAGATCAGAATTTAAGGAAATTTGTCAGGCAATAATCACAAGACTCCGGAATGTAATTTGTTTGGTACAGTTTTTGCACTCTTTGATGTCTCGATAAACGGCCTTTATGGGCTTGTAGAAAACAGTTAAATTATACGTGGAAATTTGACGGTTTTCTAATTGGGAATCGATTGTTTCTTACATATGCATATTAAAATCCCAAACTGTCGTCTCTTCGGCAATCAATGCCATTGCACTCTCCATTAGAGGAAATTGGAGAACTGTGAAGGACGACTAGAGAGTTGCAACAAGATGATGGGATGATGCAATAAAGACCTATATTTTCTCCGTCTTTAAATTGTGCTTCAGGAAAGTTGTTTGATTGATTAATGCACGATATGAGCAGTTCAGTCCTTTTTTTTGATACATTGTCAGACTAAACCATAGAGAGTACTTCATATCACCATGTGACTAACGAAGCTTAAACCCTCCAGAAAAACACAAAATTACAGCATTTGTCTGTTACTCATGAATTGATTAATGCGTTTGATATTGCCAATTCTTACAAACACTTCACTGATTAAAATGTGAACAGAGTTTAGACCGGGATTCCAACTGGCACAATTTCTCATCGATATCAGAAGCAGCAAAATTATTTTTCAGTGTTTTTTTTTTTATACAGGACTATAAATTTACAAACACATTAAAAAATAACATAAGTCATTGTATTTTTCAGTGGGGACCGTAGGTTGGTCCGTCCAGGAGCACCATCGGAACCCAATGAGTACAACTTCAATTATCACAAACGTGGCCTCTTTATCATCATCAACAACAAAAACTTTCACCCGTCCACTGGTAAAGAATCACGTGATGGAACTGACGCAGACGCAGAGAGGTTAGAAGAGAGGTTCCAGGATCTCGGGTTCGATGTCCGTCGTTATAATGACGTCTCCTCGTCCAAACTACTCCAGCTCATGAACGATGGTATAAAATATTCAGCTGAAAGACAAATTTTTTTTACTGCATTATTTTAAGAGTTAGATCTTTATAGATTGTTGGTGTGTAATTTTTCTCTTTTCAAAAATTGTCCCCCTTCAGATACAGTTTTTGAAGATGCTTAAAAGGTCTTTCTTCCTTATTATTTCTTTACAAAGATCTTATCATGCTTCTTTTAAGTACTCATAGGTTGCATTAATTTTTCAACTTATTTTTTCTGCATTTTTATATATCATTCATATTTTATGTCCATATTTGGACATTCCCTTATTCAGAGTCGCATAAACATGTTTTTATCAATATGATTGCTTATAATTTCATGAGAAATCAAAGACAGCATGGTGTCTGATTACGACATAACAACCCTGTTCTTCCGTTGTTTGATTACTGTCTCTTTCCAATTCTTAGATGATTCTTCTTGGCGAGACACATTTTATTGACCTAGTAGAGAAATGATTATATTCCAAAGCAAAAAAAAAAAAAAAAAAAAAAAAAAAAAAAAAAGATCAGAGTGCAAAAAAATCTTCATTCAATGAACTTAGGCTTTACAAAGAAAGGTTTGGTATCATTACAGCGGACTGCAAACAGAACGAAGAAATGTCAGGAAATTCAGTTTGTGATATTTATATATCTTTAATTCAAATTATTCCTGAATTAATGAGATCATTTCACGCTAGTAAGGGAAAACTGTAGAAGGTGATAAATGAATTATTGACCTATTCATAAATCATTGGCTCCTGTTCACTTTACATTAGAAACAGGTTGACCAAAGAAAGGATTTGTCAATAATCAGAATAGAAGACTCATTAGCGACTATCGGCTCTTGTGCAAATATACAGACGAGTCTTACAATTGTGACAAATTGTCCACCTTTTTATGATGGGGGATCATTTATGTAAGAAAAAATTATCTAACAATTAATGAAACCTGATTTCCATTGTCAAGAAAACAGAGGGTGTTTATACATGTAAGGAGGTTCCAATCCCCCGTCCGTCAGTTAATATGATCTACAGAACATGGCGATCTTAAAAAATGAACCCTTGGCCAAAGAAAAATTATAGAAATGTAGTACGACTATTGACAATAAAATAGGTGAAGATAACTAAAAGTGATCGATCTCAAAAAACCTACAAACAATAAAAAGCTGTGAACAGGGGCATAAAACACGAACCCTGGAATTCCAGAGATGGGCCGGGTACCAAGGAGGAGTAAACATCCTCTGTCGACCGGTCACACCCGCTGTGAGCCCAGTGTATTGATCAGGTACACGGAATAATCTGTTACAGTAGTCAAATTTAGTATAAAAACAAAGGCCTAACAATTGATATGTAATATGTCAGTCAAAATACGAACAAGTGAGAGGAAGGTTGTTTTTGCTAACAGGTCGACCATAGGGTTTACCGAATTCTGAATTTAAATGAGGTTGTTGGAATCCCTGTAACATCAACTTATTTGTCATTAGCCTGTCTTGATTTAAAAATTGATCGTATTCAGAGCATGCTCTTGAGTATCAAATAACTCTGGAGACGTAAACACCATATACAGGTGGAAGTGAAATATTACAAGATAAAAATGGAAAGTTGACTATGGAAAAACTGAAGTCATCTCATTTGTCATTTAGTTTAGTTGTTTGTTGGCCCTTATTGTCTACAGTCAGTAAAACCAAATATACTACAGAGGTGTCAGACTCTGTGGTGTCCTTTATTTCGACTTCACTGGGATATATTGAGTATATAATGAAAATAATAAATGACATATGAAAGGAAGTAAGTATTGTTAATTGATAAAACGTCATCGATATATCTGAATGTTGAGTAGAAGTTTTTAGATAAATTGCTTCATAGGAATATAAAAACAGGTCGGCTAATAAAGGAGTACAATCGAAATTCCAAAAGACTGTTGGAAGAATTGGTATTCATAGATGTTGTCAACGAGAAATTCCGGATCCAGCATCTTTTTATATCAACCCCAGAGTACTTATGTGTAGAATTATATGTTGAGTCAGAGCGATTTTTACATGGTAATTTTGTAGATGCCAATCACAAGATATGAAAATTTCTGAGTTCCATTTTTATTGAAGAAGCAGTTGTCTTTGATATCAGAAAGCCTAGTTTTTAATTCATCATGAAAAATGGTTGTATAAATTGTCGACATGTGAAGCACAGAACTTTGTAAAGCAGAAAAAATCGGAGCAAAAGCAAAGCAATTAAAGCTAAAAGTGACATTATATTAATAGATTAGACGAACATGTAGATAGTAGTACAAAAAGGTGCAATTTCTCCTCTATCTTGTGTTTCCCAGTGACAATGGGAAACGGTTTGACAATTTTTCCCCTTTATTATCCCCCCTTGAAAAGCGGGGGGAGCATATACTGATGGGGATGTCCCTCCTTCCATACGTCCGCAACATTTAGGGTACCCTTCTCTTATCCGTAACTCCTCTTATACCACTGAATAAAATTTAATCAGACTTTCATAGAATCATTGTTACACAGTGCCATTGTGCACCTCTTATTTTATTTTCTGATTGGACGGATAAATAGGGTTACCCATAACAAAATATGGATACTGCCATTCTTTCTATAACATGAAGGGGGGGGGGGGGTTTAGATGTCAATTATTTATTATCTGCAACTCCTCCTATACCACTGAACAAAAATTAATCAGACTTTCACAGAATCTTTATTACAAGGTGCCTTTGTGCGCCTTCTATTTTATTTTTTCGATCGGACAGAGAGATATTTGGTGTTTTCCATAGCAAAACATGGGCCCCGGCCATTCTTTCTATAACATGGGGGTACCCATCTCTTTTCTATGAATTCTTTTTATGAATTTGTGATCTCAGTGCTCAGAGTACCTCTAGTTTTCAATTACATGTGTATTTTCTTGAAATTTATCTGCTTCTTCCTTGTATCCATCAGGTAGTACTGACTTATCAACCGATTATCAATCAATGTTTTTCCGAAAAATTTCATTTCTGCATTCGTCTTATTTATTTTTTTAAAGGCAGGTATTCATGTCGAGTATACATTTATAGCCTCTAATCCTTGTAGTTTTATTACATTGTGATTTTGTCATTTCCTTTTCCAGCTGCTCAGCTCGATCATTCGGATTCCGACTGCTTTGGTTGTGCTATTCTTAGCTACGGAATAGAGGGACGAGTCTACGCCACTGACGGAATGCTGCCTTTGGATGTTCTAATCGTTCCTTTTAAAGGAGATAAATGCCCCATGCTGGTTGGAAAACCTAAACTTTTCTTTTTACAAGTAAGATCTTAAAGTATGTCTTTATGATCAATCTACTTAAGACGTCCAGCGGATTTACTTAGTAATATTCTTTATGTACGAACTTTTTGGTTGAAGTCGTGATTATCAAGATCTCTCAGAGTTAAAACAAATATCTGGAATTTTTTTTTACTAAAAAAATCACTTTAAACATCTGGATAATTCTATATGTTATTTGCACATCCATACTTGTTTAGCTGATGTACTTTTAAGGTTCATTGTTAATGTTATTTGAATTATGCATGTATCTATAACCCTTCCATGCGGAATGCCCGGGTCAGTCACGATTAAAACATGAGTTATGAATGATTTTTTCATACGATTCTTAAAGTACAGAAAGCAGAATTTTGTTACACGTTTTTACATTTTATTTGCAGTCCTGTCGATGTTCAAATCTAGAACAATCGGTAGAGGACACCGTGTCATATAAAAGCTTTCTCTCCGAGGACTCTGAGCGGAGTTTTTCCGGAATGAGACGAATCCCGGTGGAAGCTGATTTCCTTTTCTTTTACTCAACAGTGCCAGGTGACGTCATCATTTCCAAAAATAAGACTTGGCAAAATTATTTGAATAAGAATTGAAGAAAGACAGTTATCAGACAACGGAAGAACAGGGTTGTTATGTCGTAATCAGACACTGTGCTGTCTTTGATGAAATATGTAGATAACGAATAGTAAGCACGCTCACGTGATTCTCTTGAAATTTAAGACAAGCATGTTAATTAAATATAGTTATGAGCCCCTACAGTGGCGCTGGGACGATACTTCTCTTTTATATCGATACGTATCGCGATATTTGAGCCACGATGCGATATGAATATCACGTATTTTGAATTGATTATCAAATCTTCTTTTTGTATTGAAATGAACAAAACATTTTTTTTCCACAAATAAGAATAATTTATTCATAAAAGCTAAAAAGTTGTAAAACAAAATTATTTCACACAAGTGGTTGTTAAATATTATGTATTTCATATAAATATATTAAGCATCTTTATCTTATATAATAAACTAAAAATGTTAAGTAAACAAAGGAAAAAAAATGGATTTTTTGAGCGATATTTCTACACACGCATCTATATACGTATCATCCTCACACAAAGTGGATATTATCGATATATCGTCCTAGTCCTACCCTAAAAAAGGGGTCGTCAAGAAATGAGCATAGAATATAATAGAGAAATACTTAGAAGAAGAAATAAGAAAATTCAGGGAATTATGTCCCCCACTTTAGAACAAAAAAAGTGGATCCTAAGAAAAAAAAAGAGGCAGACGGAGAAAGAAAAGGACTGACCTTTCTTCTTTTTTTTCTTAAAATTCAATAGGGGTCTTAGAGAGGGTAATCACTTCAAATTTCACTGCAGAACCTAAAATAGAACTAAAGTTATGTCAATGAAAATCGATAGGAGTCTTCTTTGAGTCATAGATAGGGTCTTAGGTATAAAATTCCAAAAAGGAACTTGAAGTTATTAGATTTTATCTGAACTTCTGACCTTTGAGCTTATAACCTCAAAATCAATAGGAATCTACTTTCAGTCATAGGGAGTTAAGATTACCGGTATCCGAAAATGTCAAAGAAAAATATTTATGCAATGTATGGATTTTTGACTTTGATATTCAGAGGGTTCTTCTTCAAGTCATAGAGAGCTATGCTTTAAAATTTCATTACAAAAGTTAAAGTACTTCTAAGATACAATTCGGACACGAAAGTATTACAGACAAAATGACAGACAGACCCAAATTAATATTCCTCGCATTTAGTAAAAGCAGGGGGCAAAATAATTAATGCAACCAATGAAAAAAGAGGCAAGTTAAAAACTTTGTTAAAGATATAAAATAAGTAGTCCTTTGAAGGTCTAAAAAATTGTGTATCTAATAGGAGCATACTTTTTGAAAAGAGACAAATAAACACACTACAGGCTATTTAGATATAAGACGAAACGTTAAGAATCACAGAACATTACTGAATAGATTTAGAATTTTTACAACCAAGGTGTAATATCAAAATCCCATTGTTTATTTATTTATTTATTTTCTTTTTGTCTTTTTAAAATTTGTTAAATAGTTTTGTTCACGGCGTTTGCTCAAAGTGGGAGTTATAAATGTGGTCCTGTCTGTCCGTCCGTCTGTCTAACACTATAGTTTCCGGATAATATATCCGTAAGTCCTTTAATTTCTACAATAAAATTCCATATCATGATTTACTCTGACTTAAGAAGACCATATTGTATGAATTTGAGGTCTAGAACATTCAGTGTGCACACACACTGAATTAATCATCATTCAGTGAGAGAATCGCTGGGCAATAAAATTCATAAACATATCTGTATTTGAAAAAAACAACAACATAATTTATACTGTTTATCAGTATTCGCTTGTTTCATATCGGATAAAGATAAAATGTTTCATATGACTTGTTCTCTCTCTCTCTCTCTCTCTCTTATTCTTCCTTTGCCTGCAAAAAAGTACAAATATTCGAAAATCTAAAGGATTCCTACAATATTTTTCTTAATGACATTATTTGCAGGTTTCTACTCTTGGAGAAATCATCAGGAAGGGTCCTGGTTCATTCAAGCTTTGTGTATAGTCCTAGAGAACTATGGCTCCAAAATGGAACTTCTACACATGCTCACTCAAGTGAATCGTATGGTGACCTACGAGTTTGAATCGTGTTCGGATGTGGAGTTCACTGATGACGTCAAACAGATGCCTTGTATTGTGTCCATGCTCACTAGATATGTTTACTTCCGGCCAAAGAAACCGGATATCCGGGACTAATAATTTTATGTTATAGGGATATGAACAATTAAAAAAAAATGGGTGTAACCAAGTAAAAATGGTGTAAGTACATGTACACAGACTGGCACATGCAGAAAGATATTTTTCAACTCTGGTAAAAGAAACCCCTAAAAGAAATGAAAGCCAATATCGTATCATACCATATGGAGAACATCTGACATAAAGAATTCATTAAGCTGCGTTTGACAGATACCCATGAAGTTCTAAGCTATAAATATGGAAGTTTTCATTGATTTATTTTCGATTAATACCATTACTGTGGTGATTTTGACGAATTATACTATGTGATATCGCTATAATGAGTTCTTGAATCCTTATATGGGAAAGCGTCTTATCATGCTTCCTCTGACGTTTATAGGGGACAAAGATGGCTGCTGTTTTACATTAAAGCCCTAAATACCAAAATCTGATTAATTCTTGTTTGCCAGTGGGCTTAAAGACACACCATTTAACTACTCTCCCTTCCTTCAAGAGAAACTGAAGTGCCTTCTCGGAGTGGGGTGGGGAATTGATACCAGTCTAAGAAATTGAACAAATTACAAATGTAACACTACATTATCGTAATTTGCTTTTTAGAATAAATACATGTAATATTAAAGAGTCAGTGCAGTCTATTTGTTAAAATGCTCTCCAAGTTTCCGGCATGCATTTCACTCAACCCAATACCTTTTGTGGTCAAGATATATTATTTCAAAAGAATTTGATGTACATAATTCAAACGAGTAGTATTTATAACGATTGGGGGTGGGGTGTTTTTTTGTTTTTTTTTTTTGTTTTTTTTTGGCAGATCTTTGATGAGTCGCTGATCAGCATCATGAAATTGATTATAGATACGGCTTTATACGACATCAAACGATGATAGTGATCATATATGTTCATGAAAACTGTATGTTTACTGAGAATGGACTTAGAAATGTGTCAATAAGATAACCATAACCATTACAATAAAAAGGAAAGATAATAAATTCAAAATGTGTCGACAATATCAGTTCAGATCTATGAAAAGATCGTAAGATCCCTCCTCTTTCTACATATTACAATCATGAACTAAAAATAAATCTATGTATGGGAAACGAATTGTTACATGTATATGTAGCCTAAAATCATTGACCGAAGCGGAGATCGATAAGCTTTTTTTGTAAAGACTAAAACCAACCCCAGCCCAATAGGTCGTTGCTGCATTTATAACGAACTGATCCTTTGTGAATCTCAAATGTTTCGACTTTAATTGATAAAAAAAAAATAGTGTGCAGGGCGATGAGATTTAATCACAAAATATAGATGACGATGTTCTGTTTGCAATTTTATAATCACTTTCCACTTGGGACTTAAGAAGGACCCATCCATCAGCGAAGCTGCAAGTTCTATCTTAAAAATAAAAGGAAACCTGCGAACAACATAATTGAGATCTGATAGCTGGCATTGCAAATGTGTTTGTCGATACGGTAAAAAAGTATCAGCTTAGTCAAATTGAGGCTTCTTTTTGTCAATAGCAGTATCGTAAGAGACAAAGAAATGCAAGATCTATAATACAGGGAAAGATCTATAATACAGGGAAAGAAAAATAAGTTTATTGCGGATGTCTGGCAAGAAGAATTATATTTCCTTTCTATGTCTCCGTAATCGGAGATTCGGGGGAATATTAACAGTTTTTAGACTGTCTGTCTGTTTGTCCGCAAAAACTTTAACCTTGGCCATAATTTTTGAATGGTTGGTGCAATGGCTGTATTCCTTGTGACAAGACCGGGTATACCAACATTTTTGACCTCATAGCCTTGAGCTTGGAATTTAACCTGCTTTTTTTTTTTTTTTTTTTTTTTTTTTTTTAAATATTTGTCATGATCTGCATTCGGGAGCATCGGTGTCTCACAAACACATTTTTATATATAATGAAAGGCAAAAAAAGAGGCTTTTTCGTAGCAAAATTGATTCCAGTTTCGAAACAAAATGCACTGCATGAAGCAACTGTTAATCAATATTGCCCTGTTCATGTAAAGTACTACGAGTGAATGCACAGTAGAAAAGATTTTATCTAAATAATCATTCGGTGAACAACCAAGGTAGCGTAGGGATATAATTAATCAGTAAGTAGAGGAATCATTTTACACGGAGTAGTAAACAAAGATTCGGGAGTGTTATGACGCGGGGTTAAATTTGATATTTCCTTCTCTGTAATATATTCTCCAAAGTGACCGATCCTAATGCCATTTATCTCTTGGAGCTTTATGATGTAATTATTTAACATAAGCATGATTTTATTTTTTAAATTATCACCATTGAAGCTACTGTCTTCAATCATTTAATTTTCCTGTACAAAAGTACAAGTATGGTAATATTCACCCTCATGTGAAATCAATCTATCATTTAATTTTAATTAATTAAATAAACTTTGTGTCCGATAGAAATTTATCTTATATAGGAATGTTAAGTTCAATAGGTTCAATCAAAAATATGCCTTAGGAAAATTATATAAATAATAAATAGTCTATAATTAATTTATCTTGAAAGTTACCCCCTCCTCAGCCAGCAGGAAGGATAATGTCTCAAAATGAAGCTTGAAATTGAAATCTTTTCGCGCAACAATTTTCATTTTTATGCATTTCAATGTGATTCGAGGTTCTTTGAAGTCCTAGAAACGGTTTTGTAAAAAGTTAACATTTTTCGAGAAATCGAATTTTCTTTATTTAGCCTTAGATACCAATGTTTATTAGCATGATATGCAATTAGAAGTAATATGCGATGTTTTGCAATGATAGCATTTTTCAGTATGTATTGTATTCCATAACAATCGAGGTAAATAGAAGAACTAAAGAACCGTATAAAAACATGCAATTTTCTCCAAACACCTGGATACATAGTTTTTTTTAATCCTAAAATATATTTGTTGATCAACTGCATAGCAGGAGTTTTTATTCACATTTCATGAAAATTCATTTGGGATTGGATTATTTTCCCTGTATATTATGATTAACATTAATGATGAACTTGGAAGAAATACCGTGGATAAAAACACATTAATTTAGAATTCGGAGGCATTTTCAACTAAACCTGAGGATCGGACTACCTTTAACGGTGCAAAGAGCAATAACTCTTTAATTATGTTATCTTTAAAAAAATCTTTGTTTGCCTTCTCCCGACTAAAGATTAAAAATAAATTGGGTAGGTAGGTAGTATTTTTTTCTCCAGAAAAATTCAATATCAGTCCTGAATTTCTTAAATTTATTGAATTTGAAGGTGTTAATAAAATTAAAATACTTGTTGGTGGCCGGGATGAAATTTTTTTTTTCCTAGAGGTTTAAAAAAGTTTTGATTCGCGCCATTTTTAGTTAGTCAGTCGGGAGAAGGCAAACATATTTTTTTAAAAGGATGGCTCAATGTATTTTCTCTACATAACCTCTATAATATAATGGTTTCCTTGATAACCACATTTTATACATATTTCAATATGCAATTATTTGGAAATAAATTTTGAACCAGTTTTCAAGCATTTTTAGTAATGCTGTTTACCAAAAATGTGCGATTTTTGTTGTTGAGATACGCCTCTGTTAATGTATATCTGACATCTTAATTTAATTAAAAATGTAACAACCTGTACTTTTTTTAAATTTAATTATATTTAACTTAGTTGAAATTAATGCAGTTTTTCTACATATTCTTTGAACTTTAAAAAGAGTGAGTGAAGCTGCCGTAAGTAATGTGATGTTTTCCTGAGTACAGTTCGAAACTGCGTTTCATCTTCAAACCGGGTTCTGAAGAGTATCTCTACTTTCATATTCGCTAGCCAAGTGTCTATCCTCATCTGAAACCAATGCTCAACTTTAAACCTCTTCTACTCTCTCTCTCTCTCTCCTATAGAAGACACCTATTCAAATAGGAGATGTACATGGTTACCCTCCATATATTTTGGAGGTTACATTGGGTGAAGGTTAGTCCGAAATATCTGACGTTTTCCAGGCTTTTTTCACGATTTTGATATTTTACGTGCCAGGAAAACCACTGGTACGCAAAATATAAAAATAGTAAAAAAAGCCAGGAAAACGTCAGATATTTCGGACTAGGTGAAGGTTTACAACTTGACAATTTGTCACGCAAATTTTGAATTAAAAAGCAGACCTAGGTGATTTTCACCATGTGCAAAAATCATCAACATTTTAAAAATACTGAATGTGTCTCCTCCTAAATAAATCTAAAAAGTACCTAGCGCATTTCAAGTAGCAATATAGCCTTCAAAACTGGCATTGCATCAGTCCTTGGACTGAACACGAGTTATCTCTCGTGTCACACTTATCCCTCGAACAGCTGCACAGCTGCACTTTCTGCATGACTGAGCCATGGTCAGCTGCTAAACGTTGCACGGGATTCTCGGACTACATGTGGAACAAGTAAATTGTACCGCCCGACAGCTGTCATAAGGACTAAACGGTCATTGCCTATAAAATAATGAACTACTCTGAATATTGCATTTGCAAAGTTCATTCTAGAAAATAAGATTTAAGGATCAAGGTAAGACATCGAATAATTTGAGACTTTTGTGAAGATCAGCTGAAGATGGATGTCTAAGCTGTTATAAATCCAAAAATTGAGAAAGCATAGCATGTGTATACGCAATAAACCGTGATAATTTTGATTTTCGGGATAAAGAAAATCATTTGCAACTTTCTCACATACAACAACCCCATATCAACGATGGGGGTATAATTTTGAAAAGGTCGTATTTAAAATATTTCAGTTTTCTCAGCCAAGTTGGGGTTTGGGGCATGGATTCCGGGAATGTACCCAGGGTAGTTAAAGTCATACATGTCAGGGTCAGAGCACAGGTGCTTAAGGACAGGAACCCCCCCCCCCTCAATGTATATTTAAGGCTTCCCGAGTTATTTTTTTTCATGATTTACTTTAATAAGCATATGTTGATGTATATTGCACTGTAAAAATTCACAATTAATGCGAAATAAGCTATGTATAAAAATATATACCACTGGTATAAATCTCTTTTTACAGTGGCAGATTTAAGAGAGGGGGGGGGGCACCCAGCGTGAGCCCCTAAAATTGTCAAAGTTAGCGTAAATCATAGTTTCATCTAGAAAATGTAAAAATGTCTACTCGGTGGACCTCATTTTTACCCTACAAAATCTCTAGAATCCAGGAGCTTCCGGGGGCTTTGCCCCCTGGACCCCACCAGGGCTTTGCTCTGGACCCACTGGGGGCCTCAAGGTGGCCCTCAGACTCACTGTCTACTTTTGGCGCCTCCCCTCCCCCACCCCAAACTTTTTAATTCTTGGATCACCACCTGATTTATACCAGTGGTATTTATAAAATATATATAGGGTCCTGTCCCCAAGCACCTGTGGGTCAGAGAGGATTTTACAGAATGTCATAAATCTAAGATTTTTTGGGTCAGAGTATTAAAGAAAACTGTGCCTCAAAAGATTTGACTTTGAAATCTGAAGCAAAACGAAATTGGTTTTAGGTATTCTTGACTTTTACCATTTGTCAGCTTGATGGACAGGATCTGCTGTGTAATTTTGGTTAGGAATCTGCCCAGGATATCATAGATGACATTAACATTCTTATATGCTATCTCCCATTATCCGTAGACAAATA